ATGAATTGTTGAATGTGAAACTGATGATGTGCCCTGTAAACTTTCACTCAATCCACAATAAAAACCTTAAATTAAAAAAAAAAAGAAGACGAAAGACCACAGGTGAAATTTCGAGCCAAGAGAGTTGGGTTCCAGTCTCAGTTCTACCAGTGAAACCATGAAACCTCACGCACATGGTGTTTCATACTATCTGTGAAACTGGGGATCATGATGGTGATAAGGACCCCTGCTCAGCTGACCACACAAGCCTGCAATTCACATGAATTCCCAGGTATGATGGCCCTTCTCATCAGCTACAACTGTCTTGTTGGTACAACTTGAGTCGTTTCCGACTTACAGTGACCCTGTATAGCGTGGGTTTCCAAAGAGATGCTGGTGAGCTTGAACTGCCAACCTTGCAGTTCAACGTGACCTTGCAGTCCAGCACATTAACACCAAACTCCATACAGCTGTCTTGATGTTGTTAAGTGCCATCAAGTCGGTTCCGACCCATAGTGACCCTGTATAGGGTTTCCTAGGAGCAGCTGGTGAGCTTGAACTGCCAACCTTGCAGTTCAAACGGCTTTGCAGTCTGGCGCAGTAACCCACAGCGCCACACCAGGACACCTACAGCTGTCTTAGGAGGTAGGATTTATCAGCAGTTCCACTCATGCAAGAGTGCACATAAGATTACCTGGGTCCCAGGTTCTCCACAGCCTCGGCTGGTCCTGCCAGCAAGAAGAGCCCAGCCCCCTTCTCATCACCCACGGTTAAGAACAGGAGGGTCTCCTAGAAGGTAAAAGAGGCGGGTAAGCCCTGATACTTGAGGATATGAGTCAGTCCTACCCCTGCACTATCCTCAGCCTCAAGAAGAGATGTTCCCCACAAATCACGCGTCTCCCCACGCTCTATGCTGCTGCATCTGCCTGCCCACCTTTGCTCCCTGGTCTGTCTGATGACTTCTTGACTCTACGAGCCCCTCCCCTAGTCTTCCCACCTTTCCAGGTCATGTGTTCCTCCACCTCTAGCTCCCCTAGAGTTCCTTGGGCGTATGCGTACAGCAGAATTTCTCATCTGACATCATCAGTGTCAACACCCAGGCTAGATAGTGAGCTCCTCAAGGACCAATACTCTCTCTACAAGAATAATTATGAGGAGAGACGTACGTGCACATGTGTGACCCAGAGCAGGCACTCCAAAAAGTGTTGCTGGAGTATATGAGTACCAGAAACTTGGAAATCTCTGAGGTCTGGACTGTCAGGATGGGGAGGAGCAGTTAAAGCCAGAGGCAGCAGAAGTGTATGGATGAGATGGCCTTCAAAGGGCCGTGCCAACCAGGCCCCGGGCACACATAAACCTGGTGGCTCTGAGGAGCTCAACTCTGGGAGAAGCTTGGAAGCTGGTGAGTGTCACGGCCCCAGATCAAGATCAGCACCTAAAACAGAGCTTGGCCAATGCTAAGAAAATAATACTGAGTGAATTTTGAGTCTCTAGTCTTCATGTGTTCACGTGGAAGGATGTCAGCTGTACTAACAGTCCTCACTGTTACTCGTCTCTCCCTAGGTGTCTAATTAGGGTGAGTAGAGAATTCCATGCCCCTCTTACCTCTGACCCAATCTCATTGGCAATGATATTCATGAACTCAGAATCACCCTCCTTCCTGTAACAAAGGACACAGACATGAGACCCAGGTTGGAGTGGGAGCTGGGAGGCAGCAGGAAGCCTGGCTGACCTTACGCTGTCTATCCATGCACAAAAAACCTGGGTCCTCTTAGCAAAGAGAAAGCATAAACCACCCTTCTGGGCCTCAGCAGCCTATAAACATGCTTAGGATTTGTGTCTCCAGGATGATCAGAGATCTGTTAGAGAAAAGGGAAGGTACTAATGTGTCACGTGAAGATGTTTGTCAAACCCAGGAAATCTGATATTGAGTGCCTTTCTTAGGGTCTACACTATCTTGAGAATACCAGTGAGCAACCCCCTTCTACTGCCCACTGCAGACAAGTCCGACACTGCTCTCCTTGCCTGATCTCTCACCTGTGTAATGCAATCACACCTCCCCAGTCTGGGCTGTTTCTGAGGCTATGGGCTGTGTGCACAGCCAAGTCTCTCAGCAGATTCAGGTTGTTCTGAAAAGGATGTGACAACTCAGTGGACAGGTGGAAAGGATAACGAGAAAGAACCCCATCTTCCCTCCATGTCAGTCTCCCCTCCCTGTCCCCGAGGGGACCAAGGCCAGCAGAACCCAGCACTGCTGTGCTCTCCCTGAAGAACTCACCTTCTGCAGAAGCTTGGTTGCGTTTTGTAGCTTTTTCACTGCTTCCACATGGTCCTCCACTCCACACCTGCACGAGAAGAGTCTGTGGAAATCTGCCCAGTGTCCCACTGGCTTTTGCTGTTGGGGGTCAAACCAACATTTCCCTTTTTGTAAAGAAGCCTCCATCCATATGGAGACCTGGAGACATTATAAGGAGGCCCCTTAGGCAATTGGGGATGGCTCCAAAGGAATAAACGATTTGGCGGGGGGGTCTGATTATCCACAGTACTTTATCATTCATCATTACATTTTAGTCGCCAGAGATAAGACATTATTTTGTCCACCTTCCAGATAGGAAAGCTGCAGCCCTCAGTCCTCAGGGGGACCACACGCTAAGAAACAGGTAGACGGTGAGGAAGAAGGGACATACTTAAGCAGAGCGGTCAGGGCTTTCTCAGTCCCGTGACTTCTCTCCATCCACTTCAGCACCCGGTTCCCAGCCAGAAATACCAGGTTGGTTTTGTTCTTTTTGCCTTTCTCAGTGCCCAGGAGCTTAATCACCTGCACGAGCAAAGGAGTACAACACATCCACCAAGGCATTAACCACAGAGAATCCTAGAAACTGGGGGCAGGAAGACCCAGACCGCCTTTCCGGCTTTGAAGCAACCAAGGCATGATTTCCCTGAGGAGTCCTTAGCTGCCCTCCACACACACTCCCAGACCCGCTGTGTTCCCCCACCCCCAGTACCTTCTCTCTCGACCACTTAGCGGCCTTCCTCACCTACCTGAAGGTCACTGAGATTGCTCACATGGGTCCCACAACACATGTTGGAATCCACGCCCTTGATGGTAACGACTCGAATGGGCCCAGCGTGATCGTCCGGCAAACCCCGGCCCCTCACCTGGAGTAGAGGGGAGGCAGAGAGGCTGTCTGAACTTTGGGAGTCATTCTGGGAGGCCCCCTGCAGCTGCCTCCCCAGGCTCTCCTCTCACCTGGTCCACCTCAGGGTCATCCAGGCTCAGTTCTCGTACAGTCACGGGCAGCCGGTCTCTGATTTTCCCATTGACGCTCTGCTCAATGGCAGTTACTTGCTCTGCAGTCACAGAGGGGCTGTCCAGCTCAATCACACTCCGGAGTCGTCCTAACTCCCTACCAGGGAAGGAAACGGGTCACGGGATGTTGATGACAATGATAATAGCAACACATAAGAGGACCACAGTTTATAAAGAACATTTATATAAGTGATCTTATTTAATCCTCACAAAAATCCTGCAGGAAACTGAGGCTCAGAGTGATATTATGGAACATGATCAAGCTTGTGAAAACAGTGAGTGGTGGAGCCAGGATTCACCCTGAGTTTTTGTGCTCCCAAGTCCATGTTCTTTGCTGCCAGCGCACCTGTTTCTCCTGTCATCATTGTACTCCCTCTAAAAAAATGCAGCCAACCCGCCATCCCTTCTATAATCGTTCACTTTAATGTGTCAACTTGGCAGAGCTATGGTGCCCTGTTGTTCAGTCAAACAGTACTGAAGTTGCTGTGAAGTAGTTTGTTAATGTGATTAAAATGTATTATAATCAGTTGGCTTTAAGTAACAATTACCCTCAATACTGCAAGTGGGCCTCATCCAATCAGTTAGTCAGCTGAAAGCCTTAAGAGCAAAAACTGAGGATTCAGGGGGAAAAAAAAATGGAATTCTGCCTCAAACTATAACATAGAAATCCTGCCTGACTTTCAGACTTGCCAGCCCCCACATTAGTATGAGCCAATTCCTTAAAATAAATCTCTTCATATACATATCTAATCTATTGATCCAGTTTCTCTGGAGAACCTGGCGGATACAGACATCCACCTTCAAGGGGAACGGAGAACTCTGGGGAATTTATGAACATTTCCCTTTTTCATTTCTCCCTACTCCCTGATCCATGATTGAGAAAGGAGTGGGGAGTCAGGAACTCACACCCTACAGTTCCTCAGGTGTCTCCTACTCACCAGGATGTTGTTTTCCATCCAAACAGATGGTCAGCAACTGCTGTGATGAGATGCTGTCCTGAGAAAAGAGAGCAAGAGGCAGGAAATAAGTGAGAAGCTCAGACGGTCACATACTCCCACAATGACACAATCACAAAAAGTGTCACTTGCAGAAGTCCTATCTGCAAGCGCCTGAGCACTTCAGATACTTTACTGGGAATCTTCACAAGAATCCCTGCAAGAGGCATAATGATGCCAGTTGAGGAAACTGAGGCCTAGAGAGATCAAATAACTTACCAAGGCAATGATTTATCAGAGGCAGAAGCAGAATTTGAACTCAGATTCTAATGTTTTATATTTATTCATTCAACAAATATTTATTGAGTGCCAATCACATTGAGTGCAAGACACAGGGCTTGGCATTAGAGCTACAGTAGCATCCCTGATTGACGATGACCAGAAGGAGGAAAGGAAGTGGAATTAATTCTATAAAGGCATAGGGAATAAGACAGCTAATGGCCTTGAGGGGGAAAGAAGCAGGATGTGTTTGAGAGATCAAGAGAAAGAGGGGTAACCAAAAGGCTGGAGCAGTAGACAGTGACCAGCCCCAGGATAAGGAAACTGATTTTTCACAAAGCCACATGGGAGCAAAACTGAACATGGACAGACCAGCTAGGATGCTATTACAGAGGTCCACAGAAAAGACAAGAAAAGCTGGAAATGGGATGCTGGTGATGACAGCAAGGGCAGTGGAGAGAGATTTCAAAGGTAAACCAACAGGACTCAGTGGCTAGCCCTAAAGAGAGGGAGGTGTTTGGAAAGACTTCAAGGATGTGTGCTTACATAACTGGGTGGGTCATGACGGGATGCTCTGCACTGAGACAGAATGCTGACTGAGGACCAGGCTTGGGCTGAAGTGGGGGGGAGGGAGTTTTATTTCATTTTGGTCATTTTAAGTTTGAGAAGCCTGCAAGGCATCCAGATGAAATAGCAAGTGGAAAGTTGATCCAATCTGGCAGTTATTCTACTAGTTTTACTTCTTATATTGACTTTTAGCATTTGTCATAGCCTGTCTGAATCAGAGCTAAATCTGCACATCTGTCTCTTTCAAAAGGTTAGCTTTTAGAGAAGCAAAATCACTTTCTCAGTCATCATAGTGACTACCTCTCCTGTATGTCCCCTGCCCCTCCTGACCCCACATACCTGAATGCTGCTGCATGTGATCAAACCTCCGCTCCCAGTCCACCCGGACCTGCACCTGGCTCCCGGGGTTCAGGGGTGTTTGTGTGAAATGATGGGCCTGGGAACCCTGGCGGGTCACTCTCAAAACAGCGATGTCATTGATTGTCCCTCGGTCATCAGGCTGGGGGGAAGAAGTACAGACAATCAACGGTGGGTGGTGGTACTCACCCTAACAAAGACTCTCTAGAGAAAGAATGTGAAGAACATACCCAGAGTTAGAGCTTTTCAAAGGAACAATGCAATGCCAAGTGAGGTGAGAGAACTGTCTCTCTAGCCTCTTTACTCAGAGCACATAGGTATGTTGTTAATTAGAACAAAACAACAACATTACAGGCGAATAAGAGGAAAGCAATGATAACTACAGCCAATACAATTTTTATAAAGTTCAAGAACCTCCATCCGAACTTTCACTGCTTTAGTTTAGATGTATCTTTCAATCGCCTCTAAGCTGCTCTGGATTTCCTTCCTTCATCCATTCTTTTCTCTGCATTGCTACCAGGATTAGATTGAAAAATAGATTTATTCATTTCCTCAAAAAGCTAAATAGAATTATCATATGACCTGGCAATTCCACTTCTAGGTATATACCCCAAATAATTGAAAGCAAGAACTCAGACAGACACTTATACACCAATTATTTACAGTGGCCAACAGGTAGAAAGAACCCAAATGTCCATTCCATCCATAGATGGATGGATAAACATAATGTGGTATGAACATATAATGAAATATTATTCAGTCATAGAGAGAAATCATGTTCCAATACATGCTACAACATGGAATAACCCTGAAGACATTATGCTAAGTGAAATAAATCAAGATGACAAATAGTGTAGGACTCCACTTATAGAAACAGACAAATGCATAGAAACACAAGTAGGTTAATGGCTACCAGAGGTTGGAGCCGGGAGGGAGAAAAAAATGGCAGTTATTGCTTTATATCTACTGAGTTCTGTTTGGGGTGTGAAAAAGTTCAAAAAGATGCAGTGATGATAACTTTAAAACATTGTGAAAATAATTAATGTCACTGAATTATACACTCAAAAATTAGTAAAATGGCAAAGTTTGATTATATATATATATATATATATATTATACCACAGAATTGTTTTTTTAAATTCACTCATTTAAAGGCTATCAAATACTAATTGCTTATATAACATTGTGCTAGCCCAAGGTACAATGTAAACAAGACATAGTCTTTTCCCTCAAAGAACATAGACTCTAACAGAGAATACAAACAAGCAAACAGGCCTTTGCAAGATGATCTAAAACATGCCATAACACAAGTACACAGTGCTAGAGGAAGAAAGAGACCCAGCTGTTTTGGGGGATCAGGTAGTCCTTCCTGAAAGAAGCAATGTCTAAACTGAGAACTTCTGCGGACACCTGAGATCACGTTGGGAACACTGCTGCAGTCACAATGACTTTAGCATGAAACTGACACCATCTCAATGATCAACCTACTGAAAATGTTCTCTCATGTTACTTCCTTCTGAAGAACCTGCGTGGCTCCCATTGCTTCCTCGGTGAAGTCTACCCGCCAGAACACATCTTCAAGGCCCTTTGAACTTAACCCCTACTTACCTTTCCATGATCCTATCCAGCCTGTCTTCAAAATGTACCCTAGGCTTCAACTTCATCAGACTATTTGTCAGAGAATAAGCAATCAACTGCAACATCGGTGTGAACCACAAGGTTGGTGGTTCAAACTCACCAGCTGCTCCCCACATACCATATACAGAGTCGCTATGATTCAAAACCAACTTGACAGCTCTTGCAACAATAGGTTTATCAGATTCCTTAAACTTGCCCTGTCTTTGTTGGGACTAGTATCTCTGCTAGGAGAGCCTCCCTGTCAAATTCTGATTGTTGACATTTGACCTGTCCATCAAAGATACAATTCAATAGCCACAGCTCCCATATGTCCACCTTTGGAATGATTCTCTCCTTTTCTCTTCACGTTGTACCTAATCTATACCCAGCACAACACTGACAAATCTGCCTTATGTCTTGCTCTTTTAAAACATTCTCTATCTCCTGAACTCTTTCAGGAAATTCAGTTCCTGTCAAACACCCTCAGCTCATACTAAGCTCAGGGTCTTTGCACTTGCAATTTTCATTGACTGGAATATCCCCTCCTGACTCACACACCAGGTCATTACAATTACTTACCCGTTCACTTCATTTGGGTCTCTACTGAAATAACATGTCTCCTGTCTAAGAGAACATCTCATAGCTTTCTCTTCACTCAGATTTCTTTGTATTTATAGTACTTATCTTGGTGTAGTGAGGAGCTCTGGTAGCATAGTGGTTATGAGTTGGGCTGCTAACCTCAGGGTCAGCAGTTCGAAACTACCTGTAGTTCCGCGGGAAAGATGAGGTTTTCTGCTCCCATAAAGATTTACAGCCTCGGAAACCCTATGCAGGGTCACTATGAGTCCGCACACCACCACCACAACCACTACCATCCTGGTGTAGTGCTGGACTGCAAAGTCGGTTTGAACCACAAGGCCACAAGGTTGGTGGATCAAGCTCACCAGTCGCTCCTTGGAAACCCTATACAGGGTCACTATGGGTCAGAATCAACTCGATGGCACTTAACAACAACATCCCTACCACGCATGTTACTTACATATTCAATTTTGTCTGTCTCCTCCAGTAAACATTCCATGTTTGTAGAAACACTCTTTTGCCAACCCTGTATATTTAGAACCTGAAATCGTACCTAGCATTTGCTGTCTAAGACCTCTTTAAAGTGTTCAAGAGCAAAGATGTCACTCTGAGGACAAGGTATGCCTGATCCAAGCCATGGTATTTTCAATCACTTTACATGTATGTGAAAGTTGGGCAATGAATAAGGAAGACAGTACAAGAATCGATGCATTTGAATTATGGTATTGGCAATGACCTGAGTTGAACTAATTTCCAACTGTAATCATCACAGTTGAGAACCAAGTGCAGGAGAGCATTTTCCACCTGAGCTCAAAGGAATTAGGGGCTCGCCGGAAGGAGGACAGACTGAGTGACGGATCTGGTACCTGTCCCCCGCCCTCGGGAAAAAGCAGCGTGTCTTCCAGCACCACGTGGAAACCGCTCACCACCTCCCTCTTGCCGTTGCTTCCTTCGATCTGCAACTCTGCAGGGCGGCAGGAGACCACCGCGGTGGTGAACTGAAAAAAAGAGAGATGAGAAACGCCTCAAACCCCAGCCCCTAGACACCAAGCCTGAATCCCTATCCCGCACTCTCTTCAAGAGGCCCCCTCTACCCGCACCGCCCCATTCACTCAGCAGCCTTCTTTGCCCCTTAGGCCGCACCTCCCGGGCATAGCTGTCCCGCTGACACCGAAACGCCATCTCCGACTTTCTCCGGGAGGCGGGCCCGCATCACCGCAAACTCTGGGACAGGACGGAGAGCGACGTTGGACACACTTCACTGTGCGCAGACTCAAGAGAATAATAGGGCGTGGCTTGGGCACATTCGTGAAAACTCAAATTGTCAACAGTCGTACAGGATGGGATGGCAACTGTATTAAGGTTTTGAAAAGCACCAGGAAAAACTAAAACAAAAAACAACTGCCACCTGAGTTTGTCAATGCTCTTACTTTAGGCCCTTAGACCGGAGGCATATGTGTGCAATATGTGTGTTTGTGGGGGAGCAGGAAATGGCTATCCTTTCCGCTCTGATCAACTGTCTTAACAAAATGAAGAAAAGACAGGGATAAAGCATATTAAAGGAACTATAAATCACTAATGAAAACAAAGAATGTGCGATTTTATAATTAAAAACAGCTACAAGCTAGCGTAGTGGTTACGAATCGGGCTGCGAACCTTAAGGTCAGCGGTTCGAAACTACCAGCTGCTCCGCGGGAGAAAGATGAGGCTTTCTACTCCCATAAAGATTTACACCCTCGGAAACCCTGTACAGGGTCGCTATGGGTCGGAACCGACTCAACGGCACTTAACAACAATAACAACAAGCTTTAAACTTGCAGAGATTTAAGGTGCTGGAGATCTGGTGCTCTCTCACGGTTGGTGGAAGCCGGGACTGGGGCAACTTCATAAAACAGCAATTTGGCAGAAGTTATCAAAGTGTTTAAATGTATCTGTTCTTTGACCTCAGACTCACGGTAACCCCATGTGTTACAGTAGAATACCATAGGTGGTGTTGGTTGTAATCTTTACCAAAGCAGATCAACAGGTCTTCTTTCATGGCACCGCTAGGGGTCTCCAACAGCAAACCATTTGCGCCATCTAGGGACCTTCCTCTAGAAATCTACCCTACAGATGTTATTGAACAAACATGTAAAGATCCGTCTACATTTAAGAATATTCCTTACAGCACTGTTTGAAAAAAGCAAAAGACTAACAACTTATATGTCCTTCAGTAAGGAACCAGTTATATGATAGAAAATGCATTCAATGGAATCCATGCGATCTAGAAAAAGCATGAGGCAGAGCTATCTGTGCTCATTTGGAAAGCTCTCCGATATACATTACATAAGGAAAAAAAGCATGATGCAAGATGTACCTTGTATGATTCTAATTATGAACACAGAGACTCGTATTGCATTTTTTAATACAGATTAATTCTTAATATGCATGTATTGCAGTAATATAAACAATATGTTAAGTGCAGTTGAGTTGATTTGACTCATAGTGACCATGAACAGGGTTTCCAATGAGTAGCTGGTGGGTTTGAACCGCTGACCTGTGGTTCAAAGTCCAGTACTTATCCGATGGCACCATACCATAAACAATATATGCTATACATGTTCTTTATATGTTGTATAGTCTGTCATGGATTAATTCATAGGCAGAACCACGACTGATCTGTAAAAGATTTGCCACATAATCTACTGTCATTCATCTATTCGGCAGAATTATTATATGTGCACATTTAATGTTGCCATCAGCTGTAGACATGGATGGATATTTTAATATAACTGGGGTGTGGATAATTTTTGACTCACCCTTGTACATATTTAAAAACAAAACAAAGCCCAACTCATAGCAAGGCTGTAAATCTTCACAAGAGCAGAAAGTCTTATCTTTCTCCAACAGAGAAGCTGGTGGGTTTGAACTACTGACCTTGTAATTGGCAGTCTAAAGCTTATCCTATAGTGACACCAAGGAGCGTTCTTTGTACACATTGTTGTGTTGTTGTTACGTGCCATCGAGTCAGTTCCGACTCATAGCAACACCGTCTAGGGTTTTTGAGGAATGACTAGTGGATCTGAACTGCCAACCTTGTGGTTAACAGTCCAGTGCTTATCCTACAGCATCATACCAGGACTCTTTTGTTTGTGGATGAGTAGGATAGCTAAGGAGTAAATAAATATAGGCATTAGAATAATATCTAGTTTTTTTTAAAAATGGAGACATTTCTATCATGTGCAAAAAGCTGAGGTAAGGTTTCTGGCTGGTTGAGGAATAGCAGAATTAGCCACGTAAGAAGGCAAGGCTGCTTTCTGCTTTGAGAAACTGGGACACAGATTTCAACATGGGGTGGTCTGGCTTAGTCACAAACTTGCCTTCAATGTCTGCCTTTTTCCAAATGCCATAGCAAGACCAGGATCTCTGATACCCACTTCGCATCCCCTCCTTCTTCTCTAGAGGGAGAGGAGGATTGACTCCAGGAGAAAGAAGTACAAGAAGGGACGAAGGGGGATTCTGATGCAGACCGTGCAGACCCGGTCAGGAGGTCAAGACCCTGTGGGCCCAAGCGTTGTTGACCGTCCAAACCATAGG